TTTTTTATTCTTTTTATTTTTTTTTTCTACTAAGAGAGTAAAGGGTTTCGAAGAATGAGGGTTTTGGGGGATTCTTGGTGCTTCTGCAATGGTGGCGGCAAGTCGGAGAGAATGAAGGCTTCCATTTTCTCCGGCAAGGCACCGGCCATGGCCAGAATCAACGACGGCGGCACTGGCTTCCTCATCCACCGGAATCTGCTTCTCACCACCCATGCCAATCTCCCCTCGGTGGCCGCTGTTGAGGCCGCCGAGATCCGGCTTCACAATGGGCTATCCGCAACCCTCTTTCCTCACAGGTCAGCGTTCCTGAGTGTGCGCAAAATGCTTGTTCTTCTCAATCTGTAACATGTAATTATGTGTTCTGTTTTGTTCATTCATTTTGGTAAGTGTTGATTGGCTGACTGTATATTTAAGTGGGCATTGTTCAAAGGTATGAGCTTTTGAACAAGCAATCTGATAAATCTTTTATATGAATTCCATGGGTTGATAGATCTTGGATCTGATAGAGGCCGATTTTTGATTCTTCGTCTGAAGAATTACCGACTGGAGATACGTTTTATCTTATAGTGATAATAATGTGAGGATTTATATTTGCTGAACACAAAGATAAGCACCGAGAAGAACTTAATGATGGCCCAAGAGTTAGGTTGTTTGCCAAGTTTTTTAGTTACTAGGATTAATTGACTAATGACTACCATCGTGAATTCGTGATTGTGGAATCTGATGATGGCATTGTGCGGTAAGATGTCATCAAGCTTCTGTTAGATTGATCTAAATGCATTCGACTCATGATAGGTTTTATGACAATAAAGGGACAGCTGTAATTGAATTAATAATAAGAACAAGAACAGTAGTGTAGTAACATCTTTAATGATTCTTGGATTGTTGCGAATACTTGCTTGATTCTTGGGTTGTTGCGAATATTAGCTGCTAGAAAAGGAATGAGTTATTGCGGTGTGGTAACTTCTATACTGTTAGATCAGCAGACAGATTGCAATTTGACAAAGAAGTTCTGTCAGGTATTGCTAAAGTCTAAAGAGAGAATCGTAATTTCTAAGTTCAAAAGAAGTTAAAACGATCTTTCTTGTAAATGTGTTCATTAACATGAATTTGCTAATGCTTACTTCCTTTGAAGCTTTTGGTTCATCATACACGTCTTTGTAACTTTATGATGTGATTAGCACTTCCATCCGGATTGCTATTAGTATTGTGTAAACTTTATGCTTTGTCATTAGGAAATAAAATCTTCAGTAATCATTATATTGGTGAGTGAATTTGTAATCCTCCACCTTATCGTGTTTATAATAGCTCGTTATCAACAATTGATTTGTATTGTACCATTCAATTACGACAATGAGTACTTGTGAAGATTTCGAAATGCAATGCATATTTCTAAATACCGGTGAAATCTCTAATATGTGTCATTGGTTTGCATCTGGATAAATAATAATAGAAGAAATACCGGCTAAAAACTCTGAAACATGCATGGCAGAATATATGTATCAGTTCCATCTACATTTCTATATACTGAGTACAATCTACCTAATAACTGTTGCTATTTGCATTTGGAATTGTAAGATCTGTGAATCAATACAAAGATACGGATTTCATACTGATTAAAACTAGGACAACTTTCAAGTTGGTTGGTCATGATGGATGACATGACTAATTCACTCAATTTTCTGCAGATTCTTCATCACGAGCTCAGTTCTTGATCTGACGATGGTGGGCCTCGATGCCCTCGATAATGAGTCGGGCCTGCTCGGTCAGCAACCCCACCACCTAA